GGAAGAGGAGGAGCCGTGCTCAGGGAAACGCTCCTGTGAGCAGTGGACGGCAGCTAGGCAAGTAGCAAGCCCTGAGCGACAAGCGGCACCAGCACTAGCACTGGAGTAGACCACATTCACCAACCGCCTAATTGGCAGCTATCGATACGACTATCCAGACGAGGAAGACGGAGAAGACGATGGCAAGCCAGTATGGTCAGCACCAGTGCACCGACCAACATGCAAATATCTACTTTACCTATTCTCGGGACGCAGGCCTCATGATGACTTCCAACATTGGATTCAGATGGAGGCAGACTTACCATGCAGAGTGCCATCAGTGGATGTGGTCGATTCAGCAGACCTGTCCGACCTCACCAACTGGAAGCAGATAGACAGATTCGCAAGACTGGTCAAGCAAGGGCATATACTAGGGGTACTGGCAGGCCCTCCATGTGAAACATGGTGTGGTGCCAGATGCCTCGACCTGGATGGGAAGTACAAAGGTCCACAGCAAGTACGTTCAGCAGAGTTTCCATGGGGGTTACCTGGAATAGAGATGAGATATCGGCAGCAGGAGGAACTTGGAAACTTATTCATGCGTGCAGCTTTGTATCTGGCAGCCGTCTCTGCAGTATCACACGTACCGATGCTAATGGAGCGTCCAGCACGGAACTGGCGTACCAAGACGGCATCATGTTGGTCATTCCCGGAGACACGACAGTTCATGCGGAGAAACAATGTGACGCCAATTACATTTGATTTGTGTGTTTTCGGAAAGTCCTCCAAGAAGCCGACCACAATCTTCCAGATATCATGTGCAGCCTCCAAAACAAGCATGGACCAACGAAGAGGTCATGGGCACTGCCAACACAATTATGGACATGGTATTGCAGTAGGGCGACGCAGAAACGGTACATACAGAACTGCAAAGTTCAACGAGTACCCAACGGAGCTGTCACGACAGTTGGCACTTGCGATCAGAAGCTCGTGGACCACCAGACCACATGGAGGTTGCACAGCATACGAAGATATGGACCCAGCATTTGCCCAACTATGTGTTCCTTGTGACCTCTTGATGAATGTCAAGATCACGAACACTCAGCACACGGGCATGACTGCTGGAGATCGACGAAGTCGAAGTCAGCGATGTGGCAGTCCAGAACTACAGCGACCGCTTCGCCATGGCGAAGATCGTGGACGAGAGCGAAGCCTGGCCGCGTAGCCAATGCCCACCCGGGGCGCCCGGTGGCCCGCCCGAGGGAGCGGCGGGGGCCTCTGTGCCCCGATGCCCTCGGACGGGCCGTCGCGTCGTCCTATCTCGCCCTCTGGCCTCAGGATTCGGAAGGGGCGGGTGGCGGAGGGCCCCTCTCATCGCCCATCGTGCGCGGGCGCCGTCGGCCGCGGCCGCGGGCGCGCGAGCGCGGTGGGCACCGAGGCGACGCGCGTCGCGCCGCGGTGGTGCCAGGAGGGGAGGAGGAAGACCCGAGGGGCTCTGACCCCGATCAACGCAACGGATTGGCCTCGCGTGGGCCTCTCGTTTCGGGGCACGGTCCTCCATTCAGAGGCTCTGGCTTCCACAGTGCTCTATGATGCTGCACGGCTGAGGCCGGCTCTCACCTTGCAGCAGTCTAGGAGGCAGCCGTGAATTTGATTGGCACCAGTAATGCCCGCGAGCAGGATCTACGTGGCACCCCCCCGCAGTCGCGAATAAGAGTGAAGGGGCGGCTGCATTCTGCGAGGCTCTGAAGAAGCCCGCCACAGGCGCCAACTTTCTACAAATTCTACAACGAGCCCGCCGCAGGCGCCGATTTTTCGTTGAAGCAATGTGGGTGGGTCGCGGGGTGGGTCGCGGGTGGGTAGCGGGTAGGTCGCGGGTGGGTCGCGGGTGGGTCGCGGGTGGGTCGCGGGCTGGGTCGCGGGTGGGTCGCGGGTGGGTCGCGGGCGGTCGCGGGTGGGTCGCGGGTAGGTCGCGGGTAGGTCGCGGGTCGCGGATGGGTCGCGGCGGGGTCGCGGCTGGGTCGCGGGCGGGTCGCGAGGCGGGTCGCGGGTGGGTCGCAGGCCGGGTCGCGGGGGGGGACAACACAAACAACACCAAACAAAAACAACACAACAACACCAACAACAACAACAACCACAACCACGACCACGACCACAACAGCAACATCATAAACAACAGCACCACCACCACCACTACCACCACCAACAACAACAGCAACAACAATAATCGCATCACGGAATCCCGCTTCAGCCACGCACCCAGGGACAGTGAATGACCGTTCGGCCCCCTCACTGTGATCTGCCATGTGTTTGTATGAAGCGCAGCGGTGGCCACCATCTGTTGTCATGACGGTGGCTCGATTATTGCATTTGGCCCGCAGGTTGGCCCATGTCCCCTTTTATCAGAGTTTGGGTTGACGTCACATCGACGTATTCCAAGGGATGGGCAGGCACACTTCCAGTATGTTCTGACATCGGCCATCCAGCGTGCCAGGCCATACGAGCACGACCAACAACATCGCTTGACGTGGGAGCGAGAGCTACACATCGCAGTTGAAGAGACTCCAGTGGAAATGTCCTCTATTGCCGATGCCCTCTTTGTTTGCCCCCTTTGCTCCCATCAAGCCGCGTCTGAGCAACAGCTGCGCTGCGCTCCCACATCGGGTGATACCATACCATAAAGAGCCTGATTAACGCCCCAACTGTTTTGGCAGCGGGTACGGTTTGCCAAATGTGCCTGAAATGTTTCGCTCGCTTACCTTGCCTGGCCCAACTTCTCCGTACTTGTCCTTCATGCAGAATATATTAGAGCAGGTCAGGATTTGCACGACCTACCGACGATAAGCTGGCGGCAGCCCAGACGGAGGCCAAGCAGGTCATGTCGGGGCTTAAGAGACGGGGGGTCAATGCAGACGGGGGTCAGCCAGGGCACCTGATCCTGCAAGTTCCTGCGACGACCCCCTCTTGCTGACCCGGGTTAGCGAGCCGCTCGTGGCCGCGAGGCGGCCGCGCATATTGGCTGACCCGGCTTTGCGAAGACATGCGTTGCAGTTTTTGTTCCTGCATTGCAGTTTTTTTGGTTTCCTGCTGACCCGGGTCTGGATTGACCCGGGTCAGAAGATCCCCGATCATGGCCTCCAATCGGGAGTTTGGACACTTGTGTTGAGCATCCCAAGTAGTGCAGTGGCCACCTTATTTCCTTCCGCACACCTTTCCCACGGAAGCATGAGAAAGAGGGACGAATTCTCTTTCTGGTTGATGTTCCTCTTGACCCCCCGCTGCCGGAGATCATCCGACTCCGTCCTTTTCCGTTTAGGCCCTTGCAGTTGATATTGCATGTGTTCTTTGGTTTTCGGAGGGAATGCGAGTTCAATGGCATTTGGTGGAGCTGCTAGGCAGATTTCCAACCAATTTGGTGGTGCTGAGCGTGGACGTGGCGAATGCCCCTGTCGATGGGGGCTTGACGGCACCTGACACCATCGGTGGTGGACATCAATGCCCAGTTCAGATCATGCGGTTGCAGTTCTGGCAGGTTTCCCTATCAGACTTGGTCGTCTGTCCGCTTTCTCCCTGTGCCCGACAACGCGCCTGGGGGAGAACGCCGCCAAGGCTTCTGCGTACTGCCAGCCGTCTATGGAGATTATGACGCTTAAACGCCCACGAGCGAGAGCACGCACGATTGGGCAACGCTCTTCTTCGTACATCGTTGAGGCTGTTCTACGAGGCACGGGTGCATGGAGTCCCTTCTATCATGGGGCATCCTGCGGTGATCCCCAGGGCCCAAGAGTCTTATGGTTCGTGTCTCTTCCCTCAGACCCAGCGCCTTATGAGACTTCGTGGTGTTTATGCCCATCATATGTGTGAATGCATACTTATGTTGGGCCAGTGTGTTAGAACCGACGACGCTCTTCGCTGTGCATGTGACGGCCATGTCTGCCATCTTTGCTGCCGAGCACGGTGGTGGGCGTTGAACTCTCGGCAGGACCCGGGGGTTCCTTGCAGGAGTAGGGAGCGACAGTTTTTGGCGCACGTCCAAACGAAAATTGACCCGTCTCTGTTGTGCCAGTTCCTAGCGGCCTGCGTCTCACAGGAATCCTGCGAGAGGTTCCCCGAAGTCTGATGTAATCCCCTCCGCTTTGCCCTCCCGTCCCTAGCTGTTCACAGGCTACCACCCCTGTGGACCCTCCACGGCGATCGAGTGCGAAGAGCCTGGGTTGACCATGGCAGCTACGAACATGAATGGGCTGTGCCGGTTGGGCTACGACGGTTTACGGCTCCTTTGGATCCCTATCTAGTGGCTGGCATTCTTATGGACATTATGCTACACAAACCCACCGCACGTACTGACCATAATCGGTGATGCGTCTGTGTCACGGTCCGCATTCTTACCTTGTTTGCTCCCTTTCCAGTTATTCTACATTGAGCTGCAGAGATGCAGGTGGTTAACCACAACCGTGTTCAGTAGGTTTGCGAAGGTCCGTGCAATGAAGGGGTGCCGAGCCCAAGGACTCCGCCAGGCGCGCCACCTCCTTGGCAGTAGTTGCATGATACGCGAGTTTCTTAAGTTTCTGGCAGCGCCTTGGTCAGTAATAAATATATTGAACAAGGGGGAAGGTCTGAACTGTTCCTGCTCTACTTCGTCCTTTTATTCTTTCAAGTGCCCGTCCACGCTAAGCGATAGTACTCCAGTCTTGGCCAGCCCGCTGCCTGAGCGGGTCCGCGCCATATGGCGTTGGCGGATGCTCATGTCCGCTTGCGTTCCTGCTGCTGCTGTGCTGCTGCTGCTGCTGCTGCTGCTGCTGCTTGCTTCGTTCTTCACCCAGTGGTCGTCTCGTCCTTTCTCCCCATGCGGCGACGACTTTTCGCCTCTTCAACCGGCCGGCCGACCGACTGATGAGGAGGAGGAGGGAGAGGAGGAGGAGGAGGATCAGGAGGAGGGAGGCGGAAG